TCGTCATGCGAGTGGCGTGGGAACGATCGATGTTAATTGTCCCGAATCATTTATAAGTCATGTAATTCGCATAACTTAAACTTCATTGTAACCGTTTTGGCCTGATGAAGAGTTACTGAAAACACGTGTTCGCCAATTTGACATTTCAATTGCAACATGGGAATATTCGCTGAACTTTGCTATTTATCGTCTCCGCTGTTGAACGCGGGGCCGGTCGTTCTCCAAATTTGATGGCCATCGAAACCATCGGGCGTCGACAGTTCTTGGAAGTTGGTGTCGATGTAATGTGCTCTTGTGGAAAGTTCTTCCCACATATGACCACCTGGGCCGACTTCGGAGGTTTGTCAAAAATAAGACCTCATCAAAAATTAAATGCTTTTCCAGAATGAAAGTTTGTGATCAATATATTTTTGAGCAAACGAAAAAAGTTCTCTAATAAGTTTTCTACTTATGAATGGCTTTGTCATGGCGTTTTGCTGGTGGATGCCAAACTCTTTCATTCTTTTTCTAATTATACGCAAAGAAAACATTGAGAGGTGTTCTCTCTAAATAGCCTTAAGGGGCATATAATGATACTTGTTCAGTTTCCGACGAATGAAAACGTCGTCTTGCTTGCTTGTGGACCGTTTTAGCCCAACTTACTTGATTCTAGACACTGTTTTATTATTAACAATTCTCTGCAAAAAATGACTAATGGAGAAGCAGGCATTTTTCTCATTGATTTTCGGTGCCTCTAAAGATTCAATTATATTTCATTGAAATGATGTATAAAAATATTTATTCTTCTACTCATTTGGTGGAAAATTACGTCTTCTTCCAGTTTTATACTCGAAGGAAGGATATAATTTGGGTTTCAAAAGCCTTTCCAATTCCTGAATAATTTTGAACCCGACCTGCCGTTACACTTGCACTCAGGGTCTGAAAATTATAAGCCGTATATTATATTTTGTACCTATATGGGTTCTCCCATTATATACGACTAACACTAAATCGGTAGTACTCCAGTTGTTTTTCGCATTTCTCCACCACTGCCCTGACCAAATTTTTATTTTCAGAATATGATTGCTCTTGCCACCCGATTAATGTGATACCGTCGATGGCGCAGTAGTTAAGCTCTCAGCCGTCGCGGCACCTGCTTGACCTTCGGTTTCCCAGATTCAGGGCGATTCTGAACAACCTCAGTGTCAGTGTCGTTCAGCTGTCGATCTAGTAGTGCAATATCTGCTAAATTTTGAGGCGACGAATTAGTTTTCAAGTGGTTCCATGAAATATAATTGAGTTTTGAAGGGCATCGAAAATCAATATGAAAAATATATGCTACACAAGTAGTCATTTTTTTACTGAGTAGAGTTTTTGCATGCAGCCGAAAAGAAGTTCGCTCGAAAGCCGGCATCCTGAGGTAACTGAATTACTATAGAATTGTGCTGCATGATGATTAGTTTCACAACACAACTTAATTGATCTTTTCAAAACGAAAACGTATTTCGGAATTTCGGTTGAAATTTCATGAGTTGGCCCACACAAGGCACGTACTTATTCGCGCCATGCCGTCTTCAATGAATCAACCAATCATTTGCGTGCTCTACTTGAAAAAGAGAAATTAGTAGAAGAGCACCGAATTTTCGACCAACCCTTTCTGATCCGTTGCTCGAAACAGAACTCCATTATGGGCGTCTGTTCATCTAAGAAAGAGCACGAATTGTTTGATGCCTTATACTTCGACAACTCCTACACCAATCGCACATCGAAGTAGACGCTGTGCGCAACAATCTCAAAGTTTAATAGACGTTTCGGCTTGGAGCCTGACCCTGCCTCCTTTTGCAAATTCACGATTTTCATCACACTGAATATACCGCCTCCTCGATTATCCCATCCCCCATCTTCCTCACTTTTATGAATCTTCGGTTATTCGCAAGTTACACACCTTTTATTCCGGAGCAGTCTTCCATCTGGGATTTGATCTCACTCTGGCTCATCAGTACCCAAAGTAGAACTGCGTCCGAAGTTCAACTTTGCAAATCATAGCCTCGAGGTCATAGGCGCGAATACTAAAAGTCCTGTTGTCGTATGAAAAACGTCCACGCACAACGTAGTTGCTTTGTGGACACGTGGACTTCAAAACGATGAGCCGGTCAAACCAAGTATTCCTTGTGGAGAGCACAAATCGTGGCATAGCTGGCAAGGCAGAAGACTAACTGAACGCACCAGCGGTTGAAGGCTGAACAACAACTGTTTTTTGGAAAAGAATTACAGCGATATTTAGGCACATTAGCCCAGGAATTATTGGTTGCAGTATGCTAGAAGCAACATCATGACTTTCTGGAGCAGGTGTTTTCTATCAGTCGATATTTCGAGACAGGACGCTTCCCTTGATCAATATGTGTTTCTGCGTCCTTGATATGGTCACTAATGCACAACTGATCACGAAACATTATTGAATGAAAGTTTGATATTTCTGGATCCGCTTACGCTCTCTTCTGAACACGCCCCCGTTAGCCCAGTTGTCGAGATTTCGGATTGACAACAGAAGCCTCACATTTATGGCAGATGTTCGTACTTTGTGCGATGATGGTGGATCGGCCGCATATCAGACGCCGATTGGCGCAATTTCATCACCGGTGTTGTTTACCACTCCTGATTCGGCACTTTGGCTCTCAGATACAGTCATCGTCGCAGGGGAATGAGTGAATTATGTCTCCGCGGCCGGGTCGAGGTGCTCGCACTCAAATAGCCCCCGTCAGGGAAACGCGGCTCGCAAGGGAGAAGCACAGGAATGACCTCTGTTGCACGTTTACAAAAATCCAGACGACCAAGGTGTAATCAGACAAACGGCAAAGTTGGAAGAGCATTGGAACGGCCGCAAAGGGGAGGGAGGGTCAAGACATATAAGAACGATACCCGACAAAGTTTTCGGCTATGACTTACGCTTAGGGTATTTATTTAATAAGTTTGTCCTCGAAAGAGTGGTTTCTTGGCGTCGGAAATTTTCTTATTACATATTTTCGAACACCCCCAGTTTCGTCAAGCACAGGCTAGGTATTTAAACGAAAAACGATTGAAGCGGTCGAACCCGCCAGAGTTGCTCTTACATGGTCCGGTATTACGCCGTCGCTCCTGTCGAAGCGGAATCTACTATGCAAGGTTATAGGGCCATTCTATGGGTATACAGTAGGTGGGCTAACTCATGAAATGTCAACTGAAATTCCGAAATGCGTTCTCGTTTCGAAAAGAATAATTAAGAAGGGTTGTAAAACTTATCATCGTGCAGCATAATTCTATAATAATTCAGTCACCTCAGGATGCCGGCTTTACAATGATCTTCTTTCCGGCAGCATGCAAAAATTATACTCTGCAAGAAATGACTACTTGAGTAGCAGGCATTTTTCTCATTGATTTTCGGTGCCTCTAATGATTCAATTATATTTCATTGAAATGATATATAAAAATATTCATTCTTCTACTCATTTGGTGGAAAATTACGTCTTCTTCCAGTTTTATACTCGAAGGAGGGATATAATTTATTTTTCAAAAGCCTTTCCAATTCCTGAATAATTTTGAACCCGCCGCTACACTTGCACTCAGGGTCTGAAAATTATAAGCCGTATATTATATTTTGTACCTATATGTGTTCTCCCATTATATACGACTAACACTAACTCGGTAGTACTCCAGTTGTTTTTCGAATTTCTCCACCACTGCCCTGACCAATTTTTATTTTCAGAATATGATTGCTCTTGCCACCCGATTAATGTGATACCGTCCATGGCGCAGTAGTTAAGCTCTCAGCCGTCGCGAACACCTGCTTGACCTCCGTTTTCTCAGACTCAAGTCAATTCTGAACAACCTCAGTGTCAGTGTCGTTCAGCTGTCGATCTGGTAATGCAACATCTGCTAAATTTCGAGGCGACGAATTAGTTTTCAAGTGGTTCCATGAAATATAATTGAGTTTTTAAGGGCATCGAAAATCAATATGAAAAATACATGCTACGCAAGTAATCATTTTTTACTGAGTAGAGTTTTTGCATGCAGCCGAAAAGAAGTTCGCTCGAAAGCTGGCATCCTGAGGTAACTGAATTACTGTAGAATTATGCCGCATGATGATTAGTTTCACAACCCTACATAATTGACCTTTTCAAAACGAAAACGTGTTTTGGAATTTTGGTTGAAATTTCATGAGTTGGCCCACACAAGGCACGTACTTATTCGCGCCATGCCGTCTTCAATGAATCAACCAATCATTTGCGTGCTCTACTTGAAAAAGAGAAATTAGTAGAATAGCACCGAATTTTCGATCAGCCCTTTCTGATCCGTTGCACATGGTCTGCCTTCTAAAAAAATCTCGAAAATGACCGCGTCCGTCGTTTGAGGCCAATTTTAAAGACATCAGAAATGAACAAGTACCATGCAATGCGCTCTCGCGAACGCATGATAGTCAACTGCAACAGTCTGTTATTTACGGTAGAGCACTGTAGGTCACAACTAATCCATCCACTTGAGAGCAGACCCTGCACTTTAAATTGGCTTCGTTTGCAATAAGATGTGTTTAGGCGTGTTCCAACACATTAACGCACCGTTAAGTGCAACCAGCGTGCGCTTGTGACTTCAATTGTAAATGGCAAGGTCAAGAGAATTTTTCTACCACTGAGAATGATATCTACTTACAGTAAGTGGGCTGCCTCATGAATTGTCAACCGAAATTCCCAAAATGCGTTTTCATTTCGAATAGACTAATTAAGTAGGGTTGTAAAGCTAATCAACCTGCAGTATAATTCTATACTTATTCAGTTAACTCAGGGCGTCGGCTTTCGGATGAACTTATCGCAGGCTGCATGCAATAATTATACTCTGCAAAAAAATGACTACTTAAGGAGCATGCAATTTTCTCATTAATGTTTTCGATGTCCTTGAAAATTCAATTACATTTCATGAAAAGCACACATTAAATTATTCATTATTTTACTTATTCAGTAGAAAGTCACGTATTATTCCGAATTTAAACTCGAATGAAAAGTAGGATTCGACTTAGAAAAACGTGTCTGATTCCTGAATTACTATGAACCCGACCTGCTGTTACACTTGAATGCAGGGTTTCAAAACTACAAGCCGTATATTTTCCTGTAGGGAAAACCATACATTTCTCTGCGGTATTAAGAGGAGACCATATGGAGTTCATGAAATTTAGCAGTGGACTTGAGCCAAACTGTTAATGTTTCAAGGTACATTGGTAAATGCAGAGACATGGGGTTTTATGTACGGCCACTTTACGGTGTTAAAAATCTCACGATTAGAAACTTTTTTAAAACAGAATTATACCCTCGCCTCAAGCATAAAATTGGAAGAAGACGTAATTTTTTACTGAATGAGAAGGAGAATGAATATTTCTGTGCATCATTTCAATGAAATATAATTGAATCTTTAGAGGCACCGATAATCAATGAGAAAAATGGTTGCTATTCAAGTAGTCATTTTTTGCAGAGTATAATTTTTGCATGTCGCCGGAAAGAAGATCATTGTAAAGCAGGCATCCTGAGGTGACTGAATTATTATAGAATTATGCTGCACGATGATAAGTTTCACAACCCTACTTAATTATTCTTTTCGAAACGAGAACGCATTTCGTAAGTTCGGTTGACATTTCATGAGTTAGCCCACGCACTGTATGTGCTATGAAGCACTCACAGTGCACTTCAGATGACACAGCTCGTTTGGCACAGAATGTTTGTTTTAACTCAGATGTCGCGTGAGTTAACAGACTTCGAAATAATCAACTGTTCTCCATCACTTTTTGCTGCAGAGACGATTTTTCTCGCACACCTTTTGGAACTTCGGTCGCAACATCCAAAAGAGTCCTCAAAACTAAAAAACACAGTCTTCCCATTTAAACAAACACGATCGTTGCTTCTTTATCCACCCCGTTGCTGTTGTAGGTTTAGAGGCCTCAGATTGTTTTAAAGTCAAGAATGCACTGAGTTGCCGCCAGAAAGGATACTCCAACCCCGACTTCACCCAGAACACGAAGATGCGATCACGTTAACAGGGAATTTATTGGCCTGACGTTCCGGATTCTCACTGGAACCGCCATCAGTGACTTTCGCAGATAAGGGTAATAGAGGCACAAGGAGTGCAGTATTTACAGTGCGTGGCTGCCGTGGGACCATATGCGTACTATAATTAACGGCTCTCTTTATCATTGCTGATAGCTTGTCAGTCCGCGCCCGAGTCGTTAATTGCCGCGACTTCATCATCCATGTTGGATGCTGGCGTGACGATTGCTCGGCAGATTGGTTCACTATCGCCGGGACTGTTGTGGAGAAGGAGGCACGATCCTTCTTCACGACTGCTTCCTGGGGTTCGTCTCTTCGCATCTATTGGCAATGGGATTATTGCTCGTCCGCGCCCTTCCCATGTGACTGCATCTCCTGCCCAGGGAAAATCTCAGCACAGAATACGGCAACGGGAGGTCATTGCGCTTGTTGATGCATTGAGGGCCTGAGAACCATGACTCAGGCCAATAAATGTCTTGTTCGTCTTCCGAACTCGCCTGTACGCTTCCACCGGCCTCACTCTTCTCTCGACTGTCCGAGTTTTCTACCATCGGATGATGAGATGGGGCTTTGCGACCAACGCGGCGTCTGGTCCCACCTAACACGCGTCACGTGCGCGTACGCCAAAGGCAAGGGTTCACACGTACTCAGCGCGGACCAGAGACGCATGCCGTGAGCTGATTTGACCCTCGTTTGGCGCAAAGCCGGTTCGCACGAGCAGCTGGGCGCATGGAAGCGGTCACGATGACGCCGTCACAATTGGTGCGTCATCCAACCAATTAGCTGACGGCAATGTAAGTGACCAACCAATCACAACGATAGGTGATACGAAGGGTGCAAGCCAATCATGTGCCGACAGTGTGAAACCATATTCTGCCATGGGTTTTCATGCCAACTCCATTTACTAGCATTGACGCAGTTGCGCGTGGAGCTGTTGCCTCTCACTATCGCCATGTCGAAGCCAGCTCAATGCCTGACATTCAACAACGGCCTGAAAGTACCCATTCTTGGCCTTGGTACATACAAGGTAACGAAATTTCTGTTTTGTTCTACTCTTACAAAGGCGAGTGCAAACGAGATGGACATTGCACTCTCTGCCGCTCTTGATGCCGGTTACAGGCATTTTGACTGCGCAGCCCTCTATGACAATGAGGAGGATATTGGCAGGGTTTTGACCCAGAAGTTCAAGTCTGGCGTAGTGAAACGTGAAGATGTTTTCATCACAACCAAGGTACGGCAAATGCACTCGGTCTTATATTACTCTGCTAGCTATGGAATACGGCACACCGAAGTGAAGATGTGAGGCCAGCGTGTGAAGAGAGTCTTAAAAAGCTGGGACTTTCATATGTGGACTTGTACCTCATTCATTGGCCAGTTGCTTTCAGGGTGAGTTTATCGGCTTCTGCAATAACATTTAACCTTCTCTGCTATGATGCTCGCCTTTATCGTCCAGTAAACAGTACACAGTGCGTTTTAGGTGGTCTTCCAAACATTGTTGGTTAGGCGAATTTGACTGACTTCGTGTGCGATTGCTGTGGCGGACGGTTAACTCTTAGTGCCTGGCCCATTGTCATCTAGTTCGTGTAACGTAGCCGTGGTAAAGTTTTACATCACACACTAACCAGCTAGCAGAGAAAAAGCTTTGCTATCCGCGTAGATAGCCAATTCAGTTGTTGAACAAATGCTCTGCCGCTTTCACACATAGAGGTTGAGAATACATTGCACGAATTTTGTGGCCCCTAAAATCTAGCACTCCCCTGATCTTTCAATATTTTCACGTATCGAAAGCCCATTTGAATTGATTCAATCGCTTCTGGCTACTTAGGTTGCTATGTCTTATGCTTCGAAGGAAGCTGACACTTTTGTTGAACAGGGAGCTCCATCTAAACCAAATTATGATTCAAACGAAAATAAGCTCAACTGTCTCACTCATTCCAACTTCGCCTTCACGCAGGTGCGTTCATGTATTTCTACACCCTCTTAAGCGAACCACGCATTGGGTGCGCTGAACTAACACGGATGTTAGAGCGGGGTCCTACAGGAGTTATTGGGAATGCGCCTCCATAACAAATGTCAAGCTTGGGGTGTGGCGACAGGCCAAAGTGTGGGCTCACGCCATGTAATCTAGGATCCCAGCCGTCCCCCTCTCAGCGTACACGAAACCTGGAGAGTTTTCTGACGACAATTCCTTCAAGGAAAACACGGTCGTCGGGGATTTAAACTGAACCGTTTATTGGGCGTTTAACCGCACGTGTATTTTGCCATAGGCAATTTTCAAGTGTTACTTGGAGCGCAGTGTTCGACTATTTTGTTTCTCCCGTTGAAACGAGTGTGGCTCATTGACATGTCTTACACTACATTCTGTTGAAAAAGAACCTGGACGAATTCGATTCTCCCCTCATGCTTTAACTTGTAACCCATGACGGCTCGATTGTCGCGCCCGAGGCGGTTTTGGTGTTGGTGTTGTTGCTAGTGGTGAGGGCGCGGTGCGATGAGGTGTTGATTCAGCCAGGCACGGTGGGTGTGCTAGGTGTGTCGATACTGCGGTGAATTCCATTGTCATGGATACGCATGTGAACGAGTAGGCCCATGCGATGAATGTTCGTGGACAGTGAAGGCGGATGCGGCGACTGTGTGTGGGTACTCCAGGCACTGGTTCCTAAGCCTCTGTGCGATGGACTCGTAAGTGACCGACCAGGCCGATACGTGAGGTAAATGTGCGACCACAATGAGGACAGGTTGGGACCGAGTCCACGTCACTGGATTTGGGGCTGTATATGGTGATGGTAGTATATAACGGGACTTCGGATGTTGTCCTATCGATGGAGGAGTTCGAGAGGTCGTGCTGATGGTCCGGGGCCGTTGTATATGAATCCTTCCGCATCTTTGTCGTCAGACCGATCTCAGATGAAGTGACCGATCACGCTCGAGGACCTTAATGTTCTCCTTAGTGTCTGGAATTCGCGTCTGAACGACTTTTTACTTCAAGCAAGATGCTAGCCTTTGCAGGACCTCATCTGCTACTGAAAGACTTTATTGCTCCCACTGAAAGACTTTCAAACGCAATTTTTGCTCTCTCTATTCTGCAGCCGGGCAAAGAGTACTTCCCCGAGGATGCGGATGGCAAGCGGATCTTTGACTACACTCCCATTGAAGAAACCTGGAAGGTAGGTCAGTCAGTATATCAGTCAGTATATTTGGAGTAAACGACAGAAGCCATGAAAACTCCATTTAGAGGGTACAGGTATAAAGTAAAATAGTTAAATTGCAAAACTTTTGCTTGCAGTTTTAGTAGGGAGAATGCATAAATCTAATAATGTAACATAAAGGTGAAAGGGGTATTATATTCGCAAAATAATTGCGAAAAACTTTGTTCACCGCATTCGGACTGTGAAAATTTCAATATGGGCTAAGTTTGATGCAAAACACAGGATCTGTTTAAATCATGTTAGTAGTATATTTATAGTCATTTCAGTAATCCGTTAGGTCAGACTTCGGCAGTTTGGGTTGCCTTTCAGCAGGTGAGTATCCAGTTGTCTCTTGAACACGTTCACGGTAGGGGAATTAGCAACAAACTCCGGCAAAGAGTTCCATTGGCGAATGACCCTCTGTGAGAAAAAGGAGGAAAGTTGATTTGCGTGGCACAGTTCCTTTTTAAGCTGGTAATCATGTCGTCTGAGATTGGACTTGGGTGCCATTTCAAAAAACGTTTCCCAGTCGACATCCAGATTAAGTCCTTTTATCAACTGGAACGTTGCTATGAGGTAACCTCTGTCCGGATAAACCGCCTGCCTCGTTGACACTGTATCTCTACACCCACCACTTCCGTGCAGTTGACGGAGCAAATGCGACAACTGCTCACCACTTAATCAAAATTAATATGCGGATTTTTCTGGCGAATATAAGAGGGACGCAGCCTGCAGCTCTGGAACCTAGTGGGACACCAGCGAGCAGACAGTAATAAATTCGTTGGTCTACGCTACACAGGAACTAATTCGCAACCGTTCTTCTCTTACTACCTGCCCTCTGCCAAACCCACAACCTCATCAACTGCACCAGTCCTGATTAACGTCCACCCGCATATGCCTGGACCTACCGTGGGCGTAAGTCCTGTGTTGCTTCTGTGGTTGCAGAACTTTTAGTCGGTTGACTGGCGTGATCGCCTGTGCATCTCAACTGTCGCATGTACTCTCCGGATTTTCAAATTTTTATGCTGACAGTCCCGCGCCTTCCCATTTCTTGGCCTTCAGGGGGTAATTGCTTCAGCTTGCTATTCCAACGAGGTGGGCTAACTCATAAAATGTCAACCGAAACTCCCGAATGCGTTTTCGTTTCGAAAAAATTAGTTAAGTAGGGTTGTAAAACTAATCAGCCTGCAACATAATTCTGTAAAATTTCAGTTATCTCAGAATGCCGGCTTTCGAGTGAACTTCCTTCCTACTGTATACAAAAACTACACTCTGTAAAAAATAGCCACCAGATTAGCATGAATTATTCTCATTGATTTTCGATTCCCTTAAAGGCCCAATTATATTTCATGAAAAACATGCATAAAAATATTCATTCTTTTGCTCATTTGGTAGATAATTACGTCTTCTTTTAGTTTTATATTCGAAGGAGGGAACTAAATCCGTTTAAAAAAATTTTCTAATTAGGACTTTTAACTACCGTGAAATGACCGTTCACATATCGTCATATTTCTACATTTACCAATGTAGCTAGTAAAGTTAACAATATGAATCAAATCCACTGTTTAATTTTATGATCACCATATGGTCTTCTCTCAATACCGTACAGAAATGTGTGGTTTTCTGTACGCGAAAAATATACGGCTTATAGTTTGGAAACATTGAATCCAAGTGTGACGGTAGGGTTGGTTCAAACTTATTCGGAATTCATTGATATTTTGGCAGATTTTGACTAATTCATATTGGCCCAACGGTGAAAAACTCGGCGCCTCGGTGGGATTCGAACCCACGCAGTAAGGGGAAGGCTTTAGCGCAGCCAACGCTCTAACCACCTGAGCTATGAGGTCCCGCCGGACGACGCGAGTTTAATCACATTTGGGTCAAGTTACCCGCCCAACCTACTGCAACGTCTGGAATCCACCAAATCTGATACAGTAAGTTGACTGCCCAAGCAGGATTTCCTAAGTAATTCACCTAGAATCAACCAGATGACTACCAGGCTCGCGTAATTCATTGATATTTTGGCAGGCGGGGCCTCGTAGCTCAGGTGGTTAGGGCGTTGGCTGCGCTAAAGCCTTCCCCATACTGCGTGGGTTCGAATCCCACCGAAGCTCAAGTGATTAGAGCGTTGGCTGCGCTAAAGCTTACTGCGTGGGTTCGAATCCCACCGAGGCGCCGAGTTTTTCACAGTTGGGTCAATGTGAATTAGTCAAAATCTGCCAAAATATCAATGAATTACGCGAGCCTGGTAGTCATCTGGTTGATTCCAGGTGAATTACTTAGGAAATCCTGCTTGGGCAGTCAACTTACTGTATCAGATTTGGTGCATTCCAGACGTTGCAGTAGGTTGGGCGGGTAACTTGACCCAAATGTGATTAAACTCGCGTCGTCCGGCGGGGCCTCGTAGCTCAGGTGGTTAAAACGTTGGCTGCGCTAAAGCCTTCCCCTTACTGCGTGGGTTCGAATCCCACCGAGGCGCCGAGTTTTTCACAGTTGGGTCAATATGAATTATTCGGAATTGTGGAAGACAAGTGGTTAGAGGCGTGGACTTCTAACTAACAGGTCGCGAGTTCCAGCCTCGGGTGTTCCACTCTTTGGGGTTGGGAGTGACTAGCTGACAACGGCTAATAAGCCAGAAATGACCATTCCAGGCTCCCTTACCTTTGTCGGTAATAACATTCTGAACATATCGCCTATATCATGCGCCGCTGTGCGGCTGCTGGTTGGGCTCGAGAGAGAGCCCGTAAGGCACAACGGAACGAGTGAGTTACGTAAGAACGATCGGTGAGCGTCTTTATCATTGTCAAATAATCGCAGAACGAAGTACATTTTTGCATTAGATGCCCGACATTCTCCCCTTTCTACATATCCTCAGCAATCCTCTCTCCTATATGATCTCCTGCACAGGCAATGGAGTCGCTGGTTGATGCTGGTCTAGCAAAGTCCATCGGAGTATCGAATTTCAACAAGTCTCAGATTGAACGCATCCTTAAGATCTGCCGCATTAAACCAGTGATGCTGCAAGTTGAAGTTACCGTAAATTTTCTGAACGAAAAGCTGGTTCAATACGCCAAGTCAGTCGGTCTTCAGGTGACGGCCTATGCTCCTTTTGGACAGCCCTCCGTGAATAGGTAAGCATTTTCGCATTTTCTGCGAATATTTCCATGTTGTGTCTGAAAAGTCGAGTTTGTAGACATGCGTTTTCGACAGTTCATCCCCAGATCACTAAAATCACAAGTAGAGTGAGCATGCGAGCCGTAGACAGCGTTTGTGAGTGGCACTGTGACTATTCACACTTGTTCCCATGCTCTCCCGGCATGACGAGGTCGGTTTTCTGGGGTCATTAGGGCTGGAGGTAGGGTGTTGGTGATGCTTGTTTGTTAAACAGGCAGAGTGCGCATGACTGTCATTAAGGACGACATGCGACCACCACCTGGAGTCGGCGTTGGCCACGGAACCTAGAACGCCTGCACCAACGTATTCTGCCAAGGAAACGCCGGGTTCGCTGGCCAAATGGCCCCTGTCTCAGCTGTTGATAGCACCCGCTGACGTATGCCTTAAGGTTAGTTTGCCGACGCCCGATAGATAACCTGACGGACTTCTTTGGCGTCGAATCAGTAATTTGTGTCGACTCGATGTGCGAGAAAAGACCTTCGGATTGATCCATTTTCGCCTTTGCCTAGTCAGGCAGATATGTGTTTGCGTACCCTCCTTTCCGGACGCCTCGTTGTACGGCCAATGCATCCTGATCCATAGGAGAAAGTGAATGACTAATTGCACATAGATATGGCCTGCAATAGTAATCGGCCTTTGGCTCCCAACCGTAGGAGGGATTATTCGAAGACTACGCGTGAGCTCGGCCTTGATAGCTGTTCTATACGTCGTCTTACTAACTCGCTTGCTGCCTCCCAGAGAAGGGACAGTCTTTCCTGCTGTTTCCGTGGTAGGCTCTGTAGTATGTTCCTAGCATTCCAGAGGATGAGTCTCTCTAGAAAGCCGTCGTCTCGAATTGTGTTCTGCAGCTTCTGGAGTTCTGCCTCAACAGTCTTAGGAGAGCAGAAGCGTCGTATCCTAGTCACCAATTCCTGGACTGATCTCGTTTTAGCTTTATGGGAACTGTGAAAGTTTATATATTGTCTCCTCCGGGGTTTCTCTTGGAAAACCTAGCACTGTATAGATCCTTCTTTTTGTCTTCGTCGAAGAACAACGAGGAAAGTGTCAGTTACAGAGCATGACTGGCGGCGAGGCACTGATAAAGTTTCGCTCGATTAAGTGCCTATGACTTACATGCTCGACATCATCTGTTGATCATCTGCCCGGTGTGCGAGCGTATGTTGGTGTTTTTGGTCCCAGGTGGTGGTCATGGTTACAACTGGGTGAATAAAGACAGAATACGCCCGAACCAGTTCTGTATCCATCTACCCGCATCCCCTGTCGTCCCTCTGATATATATATATCTTGGAAAGGGGTGAAATACTTGGGGACGAGATAACCTTCATTGCGTAAATTTTTAAGACTGGTTCCGCGGCTCGTCGTCAGACTTATGGGTCATGTACCGAAACAATTAACTATTTGACTGGGTCTCTCAAACGATTCTTTGGTTAGTCGGAGCCTGCACCAGTACGCATCAAGTGTATTTCCTCATCTCTTCGGCATTGGTTGCGCTCCCTTCCATTTATTTTTGAAAAAAATTGTATGTGGCGTCTAAACCGATATGCCGATTGATGCATGCCTCATCTAAGTGCATTACCTTCAGGAGTTAACGGCCAACAATGCAGGTGTTCTCCTACACAAATTGATGCACAGTGTCCAGTGTATGCGTGACCACCCGGGATGGATGGTCTGCACTCTTCACCTCTGACTGGTGCTCGTGTATACGGGTTGAAACAGTTCGGACAGTACGATGCCGGGTATTCCGAAGGAAACCCTGGCCGGGACAATGTATCAACAGATGTCATCGCAATTAGAGCATGGGATTCTGTGGAAAACACTTTTTCTATCGAGGCAGCCAACTCTATGCTTAAGGTGTAAAAGCTGTGTGTTCAAGGTAGTTGCCGGTCGGTTTGCTGCGTGTATATTATGTCTTACCGCTGACTTTCTACTAGCTCAGAAACGTTTTTCACGCATGGGAGAGTTTTCCAGGTGGTTGCTTTTGGTGCCCGAGCGGCCGTAGCGTTGGAAATACCTTTCCCCTTAAATGGCTGGTGCCTCATAGACTGACGTACAAAGTCGTACGGGTGCCCCTTTTGAGAAAATAGTTTGAAAAGGTATTTCGGTTGGATACCAGTGTCGCAACACTCCGTTACTGATGCTAGTATTATTGCAGTTAGTTACCCATACTGTAAGCGTTGGTAGAGTAGCATTGGCAGCCGTGGTGGCGGTGGTAGTAGTTATAGTACTTATAGTAGGATTATTAGTAGTATTCGCCGTATCAGTGGTGGTAGACGGGGGAAAAAGTTTTCTTCAGTGTTGCGACACTGTATTCCCGCCAGTGGTAGTAGTATTAGTAGTAACAGCGGTAGTAGTGGTAGTAGTAGCAGTAGTAGTGGTGGTGGTAGCAGTAGTAGTAGTATTAGTGGTAGTAGAAGTAGTAGTAGAAGTAGTAGTAGTAGTAGTAGTAGTAGTAGTAGTAGTAGTAGTATTAGTCCACCCGTAAGACAGGCTGGTGGGGGAATAGACAATTCTAAGTGTTGCGACACTGTATTCCCGCCGGTATTTCACTCCTCCGCGATAAATTGCTTCATCAGAGCAGTGCGTTTTGGCTCGATTTAACAAGCTGTAGACAGAACCCCGTTTGTGAGAAAGGGTGGTTACTCTCAAAATGTAGGATGACCTCTTCGTGATAAACTGATGTGTGAAGTGGTCCATCAGTTTTTCGCTTTATAGGACACCCAGGGTCGGGAGTTGAACATCAACCCCTGCTTGGAAAATGGACTTACTTCTCAAGAATATAGAGTTAAAAATTGTGCAGAATTCTTTGGTGGCCGAGTTACGCGAAAACAAATTTCAATGCATACAGTATACTATTGGTGTAAACAAGTAATAACGAAAAAAACGTGCAAACCTCAACAATGGATACCGTAGACAAAGAATTCCTTTGTGCCTTTTCGAGTTCATCGAATTCCCAGGTCATGGTCAGAATACAAAAACTAGTTAATTAAAAGAACACCCACCGTGCTTGAGAGAGGGTTACAAAAAGGGGAAAGGGGAATGTCAACAGGGGCCAAACGTGGATGCACTTGCGAAGAGGACTTGGAGAATTCCAAACCTCGACCAACTGGATACAACAAATTGTATGAAGCAGATTTAACCGATTTTTCCTGACGGTGGACTCGTGTGAGAGTTGGAGACGTCCGAACAATCGACAATCGGCCATAGAAGCCGCCTCCCTTTTTATTCCGTTCAAATTGAAGACCCTCACGTTTTTTTCCACAATTCTGATCACGTATATAGCCAGACTGTTGCTTGAAATTTGGTCCCGGAGCCATGGATATATGACATTTTATAGAGGGCATCCTTTTTACGAAAGTAATCAACCATATAACTAAGGTGCGTAAGTTAACTGCGCGAAATAGTTGTAGGTTTGTGAGCTACCTCCATCAGATATTTCTTCCACTGCATTTCAATGAGCTCAACTATGCAGTTGACGCCACCAGCCAGTTTTAGCGCCTAGATGGCCTCAGTTTTGCAATTGCCTTTACCTTCTAACCATTATCGCCTCATGCGTCAACGTGTGGAGCCAAGAAAGCACCTATTTTGGGAGGACGACTCGATTGGATATCTTATTTCCTCTTCATAGCAGTTAGCCTTAGCTAAGCTTAGTAGGCTGTTGGTAGAGCTGCGATTGTAAAGTGGGTGCGTTGTTATCGTGGTGCAAAAGGACCGCGGAGTATGACTCCTTGCGAAAAACCGAATTTTGCAGTAAATTACTATTCCTGCGTTTTGTGGGGATAGCTTGGAATAGAAGTACTCTATCCATCCCCGTTTCGAAAATAAATTAAATCTAATACATGCCTCTGAAAATCCGTCATCGCGCAAAACTAATCCCCAACATGCTATATTTACAACTGCCAGATCGGTTCCTTCGCCACTCACCGAGCCCTACGTGAAGGCGATTGCCGACGCGCATGGCAAAACACCCGCTCAAGTTCTCATTCGCCACGCAATTCAACGCGGCATCTGTGTCATTCCCAAGAGCTCTAATCCCGAACGAATCCTCTCTAACTCCCAGGCAAGCGGGCAGCTTCTTTTATCTGTAGCTTTTAGCTTGCGATTTGGAGCCAGTAAATAGGCCGAGATTTTATTTATATAAAATCCGTGTCTTTTTTTCTGGTAAAGGCGCCTACTTACTGTGCTCTTATGCCGATAGCTAGGAAGGCCTCACATCGTTCTTCTTCTTCTTCTTCTTCTTTTTCTTCTTCTTCTGACTTTTTAATTTTTCAGAACTTATTCGCTAAGTTGACGTAAATCAGTCTGTTTGAAACTTATAGATTCAGACTGGGATTTGGTACAACTATTTGGGCTGAAGTCTATCAGTTACAAGGTTTCCTGTGTGCTTTCTGGTAGATACGCTAGTTTTAGGATTCAAACTGTTTACTCTCCTCAGAAATCAATCGGCAAATCTGTCTGTTGGAGATTTATTGGCTCAAACTGAAATTTGACAAGGATATTTTGGCCGCAATCCATCAAACAGAGCGGAATAACTGCAAGCTTCTACCGGTGAAGCCTTCAGTCGATCTCAGTTATGCCCATGGTAGACCAAGTATTTTGTCAGCAGCGTCGGCAGCTATCTGAATACATCACGGCACTGTTCATGTGGGGTTTTTTAAGTTGCCTGCGGATGAAGCTCAGGTATCTGGGGTCCAAGGTCAGACAGTTTGTTAAGCTGCGGCACCAACCCCTCTTGTTTAACTGCGGCGACCCCATGGGGCCCCTACTGCTTAGAGTCCCCTTGATGCACCACGTGAGAGGACGCGGCCCCCTGGAGCAACCCAGTCCGCAGCCTTAACCGCAAATGCAGACCATAAACTAAGCCAGACAACCTCAGCCCTAGAAATAACCCCCCTCCTAATACTAACCCATACGCAAACCGTATGCCTAACCCTAACCTTCGACCCGATCCCGGCAACTTTGACGTCAATAACACTAACTGTTATGGACCACAGAATAGCGTTACCGACAAAGACAGGGGAGAATGGAATGATAATTTCTGACTTATTAGTCGTCGTCAGTCAGCCATATCTAACCCCGAGGTGTGCAAACGCTAGGACTCAATCCCGCAACCTGTTGGCTAGAAATCCAAAGTACTCACCACTGGGCCACGGGCTCGGTTGCGATCGGGATTATACTATGCTAGAGCAGCGCCCACCGATTGCGCTACGGCACTCATTCGCCCCACCGTGCCTTGGGACCCCACCATAGCTATCTGGATAAGATAAACCACGTAAAGGGGTTACATACTCTTTTCTTACCGGAATAAGCATCAAAGTAGTTATTTTGCAATCTGAGCTGGTTACTTCCCGCAACATCCTCTGTGCCTAAGGCGAGAGAGGTTGAGTCCAACACTGAAAACCTGACGCGCTTGAATATATCGCGTACGCTAAAGGTCATGCAGTAGGTGGGCTAACTCATGAAATGTCAACTGAAATTCCGAAATGCGTTTTCGTTTTGAAAAGATTAAATAAGTAGGGTTGTTAAACTGTTCGTCGTGCAGCATAGTTCTATAAAAGTTCAGTTACCCCAGGATGCCGGATTTTGAGAGAACCTCTTTCCGCCTGCGTGCAAACACTATACTCTGCAAAAAATGGCTACTTAAGTAGCATGCATTCTCCTCATCGATTTTTAAATGCCCTTAAAAATTCAATTATATTTCATGGAAAACGAGGATACTAATATTCAATGTCTTGCTCATTTGGCAGAAAATTACATCTTCCAGTGTTATACTCGAAGGAAGGGTGTACTTCGCTTTTAAAAAAGTTTATAATTTTGCGGTTTTTAAATACCGTGAAATGGCCGTGTCTTTGCAGCAAAAATTAAGGGGAGGATGACGCGTACATTGCAATCTAAAATCTTTCAGCGCATTGAAACTCAGTGTGAGGTAGACTGGCTGCCGCACAGGTAACCGCGCTTAATCCCATCAGTCGTTGGTTGGCAGGCCCTGACAGTCGATCGGTAGATAGCAGAGGGATTTCCAATCTGAAGAGTCCTCCCTGCCGGCGAATCACCACACCCCCCCCCCCTACAAGAAATCGGAAACACTTGAATCTATCACGACACGCTAGTAGTCTTGACGTGGGAGCCTGCCAACTGACGGGATAACTAGTTTCTTCTCAGTACTGCGGGCCAGGCATCAGTGACTTCACCCTAGCGTGACCTTCACCGCATTCTCGAGCATTTGAAACCCGGGTGACGTCCACTGTAACACAGTGCATCCGGAGTGGAAGTCAGTTCGTGTGTGGCACGCGTAGACGGCCATTGTGCCCACACCACCCTCCGCTCTTATTAACATCACCCAGTTATCGGTGCAAGCTAGTGACAGAGGAGAGGGTGCGATAGATGCGGCGCTAGTCCGCCCTAATCCACGCCCAAGTCACAGGTGTTACCTGCACTGAGAGTGGCACAGGGTGTTTGTCGTCGACCGCGATAGTCGAACTCTTGTACGAGTGTCCCCACAAGGGGTTATACCAGGCTGTAGACTAAACAGAAGACCACATTTGCACATGACTTCTGTTGGTTGAACTTTGCCGAGTCCGCATGGGTGCTTTGCTATTGCCATAATGACAGTTCGACCGTAAATTCCGAGGATGTCTACCGTGTGCTACACAGCAAGGTGCAGCAGGCACGGCGACTTGCGCGTGAGTTAGTTTACAGCGATAGTAGGCTTGCGCTGCATCTACCGCACTCTCTTTCCCACTCCTCCCTGGACCCGATGTCAAGACAGAGTCAAGAAGACCGGAGGCGGGAAGGGGACGCAGGTGGCCGGTACGACCGGACCTGCACCTAGACGTGCCACCACACCCCCTGGTCCACAATATATACCTGACCAGGGTTTTTCCTCAATAATTACAGCAACACCCCAACAGGGGTCAGAAGGACGAGAATGATGACTGGGCAGCCATGCCCACCATCTGTATACCCAGCGGGAGCGCAAGCGCATCTACCGGCAGGGAGCCAGGTCCCAGGGAACTGCCGGCGCATACCACGCTGCGAGGGCCATGGTTTGCTGATTACTGGCATAGCACACGCTTTCAGACCTTTTGACCGCTATTGCCATACATGCACTCACACTCGTATTATCAGTAGGCTGATAGGATTACAGGGGCAACTCCTGTGCGGCCGTTTTCCTTCTCCAGAAGCTTTCAGTCATACAAAATCTTTCCAATCTCGAGTCCATGTGACGGAGGTCCGCTCGGAAGTCATTTATTTGCTAGTAAGAATTAATTGCTGGATCATTTATTTGACCGTCCCCAAAAAGACCGGCTGCAGAGAAGGAACTAATGGGTGTCCGTCTTGCTAGTACTCATAGCACACTGGTTCGAAATCGGCTACGCGACTTCAGCGGTGTAGTGAAAAAGTCAAACTCCCTAAGCCTCAGCAGGTTTCACAGAAGGTTCCCTTAGAGTAGGAAGTCAATGTCTCCTCTCTATGGCCTTTAAAGTATCTACGCATATGAGATCTGAGTCTTCTGGTACGCGTATTAGCACGCGTGGACAAGATGTCTGGCGTTTTCAGCCATTCAGCCCTCCCTCCTCCGTTGGCTGACTCCAGCAGGCGCAGCGTCTGTCGACGTCGTTCGATTTTGCACCCTCGGGGAGGTGGGGGGTTAGCACAAGCTCAGTAGTGTGGACAAGCAACCTGAGTGCTGTGATCAAACCCTCTTATGCCAGTCTGTGTAATTATTGCTAGTCTCACCTTCTCCCCGTCCCAATTTTAGCTTCTGACCTTCATTTCACATACTACCCCCGCCGTTCCACTTCCTAGGTCTTTGACTTTGAACTGAGCGATGCGGAGATGCATATTCTCAATACCAGTGGGCGAGAGTGCAGGGTAATCAGTGAGCCTTCGTAAGTTTTATCTGTGGTTTTAGTCAAATGCATTTGCTAGTCCTCTCTCTCCGCCCTCATTTCCTCCTTCTCTCCCACTTCTCTAGCGTAAAGTCCCACCCGGAGTACCCATTCAACGATGAATACTAGAGGAAGGCCATTCATCAACCTTGGCTTCGCACATCGTCGGAAGTTCACTTGGATATTACGTCTGTTTGTGTTACGATTTATACTAATAAATGCGCTTGTGTTTGCGTGTCCCTGAGGAATACGTCTAAGCCGCTGTTATATCCGTCGTCGTCGTCATCGTCGTCGTCGTCGTCGTCGTCATCATCATAATCATAATCATCATCATCATCATCGCCGTCAAATGTACTACTGATACTCCTGGGGATCTTATGGGTGTTTAATGCACACGCCCGTTCTACACTGCCCTGTTTGTATCGTCTCGCGAGAATTACGTTTTAGGAAGTAAAGAGTCGTTTTTTCTAAAATTTCCTCTGAAATTTACTACGAACTTATTCCAGGTCTGTAGGCTCAGACCGAGATTTTTATGTATGAATATTTGGGCCGAAGTCCATCAGCCAGAGCGGGTAACCGCGTAATAATCATTACGCAGCTAGGGCAAGGTAATACCGTACTAACAGCACAGGTACTAGCCAGAAGCCTATATTCTGCCGCTGCATGCCGCAGCTGCGAAGGGTTCGACTCGTCTGTCGGCAGTTAATGAATATTACGCGGTTACCCGCTGTGGCTGATGGACTTCGGCCCAAAGAAATGCATGCAAGGAAATTTCGGTCTTAGCCTTCAGACCTTGAATAAACTGATCTTTTCCAAGTCCACAGTTAATTTCTGAGGCAATTAAAAAAAGTTACAATATCTAAATTAGAGTATCTACCAGAAAACAGATGGGGAATCCTGGGGGACCCACTGACGTGCCGAACCCCTCGCAGCTGTGCCATGCAGTGGCAGAATATCGGCGAAACATGCGTATATGGGATTTGGATAGTACTTCTGCTGTCAGTATGGTATCACCTTAACCTGGAGTAAAGATTGTTAGGACCGCATTATAATAATGTAGAAAAATGCCATCGAAATAACTTCTAGCTCAAATGGATGTTTAGACGTTAGGTCGCCGCAAACATTTGCAACTGCGTTGACCGAGGGTCACTCCTAAGCCACTCGGCTCCCTGCTCTCTTATTTGACATCAGATGTAACAACGGCATGAAGGAAGCCCATGACCTAACGGGAAGTGTGGCATTTGAAAATCCCCCCTAGCTTTTAATGACCACTTGAAGGATGGCCAGCGCACAAGTTTGACCCTCGAATGCCTTGCTTACGGGTATGTCCTCTTCAAAACTGGGCAACGTTGGTGACAAAACGCCCAACATTTATAGGGCTGGCTACCGGAAGTTATTCAACCCGCCACTCACATAACGGCACCAACTTTTACATGTTTATACTACTTGTAATTAGTAAGTAACCGTTAATGATTACTATTTTTGACTAGCTGTCCGCGATTATGTACAAAATCCTTTTTTCACCTTCCCACTTAGCAGTTTTTTTCTCCGACGACTTGTAACCAGCAGGAAGTTCAAAGGCACTTGCCTATATTTCCCTTAATAAACTGAAAATGAAACCCGGTTTATTCGAAAAGTCACGTATACCCGAGGAAAGCTAAGCGAGAATGCATTTGCCTGCCGATTTAACTTTGTGGCTTTATGGTCATGTTTGAGGCCCGCTCTCAGTGAAACAAGTATTCATGCTCATCGCTCATTCCAGTTTAAGGTTGTGTGCGGTTCACGTTGTGTGTGTAGCGTCTAAGCTGTGGCAGTGTGTGCTCAGATCCCGACTCGTAAGAAGATAGGAGGCACCAGAATGGGGGGTTTATTGTACACTGAACCCGGTGTTGTCCTCTCAGGCGGTTGTGGCCACTGGCAGAGCCAGGGCTGGTATTGACTGCCTCCAGTCACGCCTGAGAGTCCCTGGAACAGTGGTGGTAGCCGCTGTTGTAGCCTCGTGAGCCAAGCTCTAGTAGTCTCCAATCGGTGTGTTACATTTGCCGAGGGGTGATGTTCCAGTGGTCTAGGTCGTGGTTTCAAGGGGCAAGGAGCGTTCAAGTGACCGCGTGGGCAGCTGCAACTGTGTGGACGCAGGTATGTCGGAGCTGAAGCCGGTCGAGGGTCTTCAGGTCAGCTCCTCTGGAACGGCTAGCCGCAAGGCGTAAATGACCTTGAGGCTGCGGGGTCCTGAACAATGACGCTAAACTGGCCATGATGGCTGCCCGCAACATGCGTCCTCGGGATCGTGGAACACCCACCACCCCTGATTGCACACCGTGCGGACTGCACCACCTTTCTTATGCCATACGGGCAGAGCAGGCTCACTCTAAATGACTGTTTTCACACATATCCGTCTATCTGAATTTCAAGGTGCTGACTTGATCTAAAGTGCTCTAAGTCTCAAGGCAGACTCGCGAACATCGCTAAGGATAAATGCACGAAAGATAGTCTAAAGTAGTATCTGATAAGATGAATCTACTGCTGCAACAAGGAACATGATCATACCAAGCTCCAACTTTCTGCTCGAACCGAAAATCCCGGGCAGGGATATTCAGAGCCAGAGGGGCAAAATAGTCGTTGTTTTGCCTATACAGTACGTGACCTATCTCATGAACTCTGACAGCGGAAACTGCTCAGAGAATTTCTGGTCGCCTTTAATGTTGAATATTTTGTTCGCTCATCCACTTCCGTCAATAAAATGTCCTTTTCTTGTGCAGAAATTATGTTTACGTAATTATATCAAGTAAAATATCAGTAAATTTTAGCGCAAATGGAAGTTGGATTATATTCGTGTAATTTCCTATGTTAATACATGTCATAGACTCCGGTTACGCATCTGAGCTACTTTTTCATTGAAAGGATAGTAAGGTACCCGCGATAGTTTTAATAAACTGATTTAGTCGGACTTGCAGTTTTATTTTAAGTCCGATGTTAACCATGTTGTTCAACCTGCTAATACAAAGGTTATTTTAAGAAAACCAGACGTTTTATCGGTTCCTAAATGTCAAAGTCGCAGACCTGTGCGATTTGGTGTCTAAAAGTGTAGTAATAACGCAGATAGGAATTCCTTCGTTTAAGGGGGCTGAAATTATTTCGCCGTTTTGAAAATTCTACCTCATGTCACATAGACGACCACCACGGAATGGTCATTTCCAGCTTTAAACATATGAAACACTACTTGTCGTGCAGTTTAGCTTCTGTGCATACCTTACGCAGAAATAGGACGAACATAACATTTATAGTTTCAGCAAAATATCAGTATTTATATGGGCGCTATGCCGTGCATTCATAATCGAAGAACGGAGTCTAAAAGCGAGTAAAAACAGTGGCCTCAATATATAGAAAAAGGCGTGTTCTTACGTCCAAGGTAGAAAAATATTAGTATTTCTAAGGAAGGTGAAAGAAACGGCCAAAAGTGTCAAATTTTTACCTGGCCTCGCCGTGTAAAAATGCAAAGTACACAGAGATCCGTCGACAGAGTGCAGTAATAAAGCACTTCTTAAAGATGTAACTTATAAGGGAAAATTTACTTATTGATCGAAGGCATATTCGTTGCTGACTTTCGTTGTGGACAGCCATTTTTCTCGAAAATGAAGTTTACTGTTTGAACGAGTCTTCACATATGACCCAAATGATCATCTTCGTGAAAAGGAGCGCCCAGACACTCACTAATTCGGTAAATGCCTTCAAGAATAATCTTATTTTAAAGTTCTTAACAGACGGGTACTTCAGAATCTGTCTTAATGGAAGATCGGGCAAAAACACTGAAAATCATGAAGTATTCAGCAACATTTCGAGGCCGATCTGAAACTCAACGTAATCCAAAACGAATGAGAAGAGTATAAATTAAGTTAAAGGGAGTAAATTTCTCTCTATAAACAGAAATTGGTATGTTTATAACCACGCCTGTCAGTTCTATTTAAATATATTATGCACCGACCGGCATCATGGCATGTCACCTTATGAAATCTTTTGTTCCTACGACGTCCCCATCGGTGAAATCAAACAAAATCCAGCTTCTCTTATTGAACCCAATGTCATTAAACTCAACTCTACTTTCATATTTACTACGTTTTTGTATGAAAATGCATTCTATACATATAAAGACGAACTTTACTTAATTAGAACCATTTCTGACGTTTTCGGGATATTGCGATTTCCAAAATAAATCGGCATTTCTAAATAACGCAACACTGCCTTTAATATTTCTTTTATGTTTTAATTCTTTTAAACTTGTACTTAGTTAACATAGACATTTGACTCATGAAATGGTGTCGGTTTGCGAGTGATTGGCAATCATTCATAAATTTCGACACATTTCATGAGTTAGGTCACTAACTGTAGAACCTGTATGTAACCACAAGTCCCCGACCACCGAGCCTTTATCGCGACGGTTCGTAGCATTCGTTCTGAAGTCTCGCCTCTCTCCGAGGCGCATGGGTGTACACTTCATCTTACAAACTTCTAGTCTCCTTCTTCCCTGTACCGGTACCCTCAAAATTTGACGGCATCAGTCGCTTGTTAAATGACATAGGCGCATCTGAACTAATGTTACACTAAGTAGAAATTACTTTTCGCCTCGATGCAAACTACGAAGCCGCGACACTCGTTCAGTCAAGACCCATGCACGTGTTACAGACCAACGCTATCATGATAATGTCTGTAAGAAGAATAACAGAGCATGCAGTATAAAAGGGCATTATGGTGGATGGCATTTGAACCATCTCGTCGCGATGGTATTCTTCTGCAACCTGGTAGCAGTGTTCATCTAATAAGTAAGGTGCTGCTGGAAGAAGCCATGAAAATTTTAAAGACTTTCGGTTCAAAGGAAACGTTTCTTATTCAAGTCAGCCAGGATTTTTCGGCTCTAAATTTGTGATATATGAAAAACTGAGTGACCAACGTTCAGCTATCATTTTTTAATATTTCGGTTAATCGGGCTCTCGAACTTCTTAAGCAAAATTCGGGAATTTGAAGCACTTTTTCGCTGGTACGAATGTAAAACAGGGTGCTGGAGGACTCAGCCTGGATAACGGTTAAACACTTGCTGGACAAGAGTCCGACTAGGGCTCAGACCGCGGTATTCC